GGGAGAGGCAGGAGAAAAGGCTAGAAGGTTCGGTCACACGGGTTAGGAGATGAAATTTACACGAGGCGGTCAGTTTGCCTGTATAACTGTCATTCGGTTGTGTAACGGAGTCAAGGTGTGTATGATATGAGGTGGGTACGGAAGTTGAGATACCGGTCTTCCTATCCACGAATGTAGTTGACATGTCGTAAATAATGCTGACAATGCCTTGTGGTGACTTGTTCCACTGATACACTATCGATTTAACCCGTCATTCTTCTCTAATTGTCAAGCCCATCACATACCCTGCCTTTCTTGGGTCGCTGGGGGCTTACTGTCGTCAGTTTACGTCTATCATAATGATCCCTGCCTCATAATGTAGTAACGGAGAGAATTGATCGGGTAAGGAAGCTTAGCCAATGCGCCCTGGCGGGCTCCAGTCGCGTGGTTCCAGTGAATAATGTCCTAAATAGCTATATGAACAAATTACGAGTGATTTGATATCAAACCTATACGGTTGTTTAAATGATATCTCTCCGACAGAAAGCCGCCAAAAATGATAATGTCTCCTTCCAGATCGGTTGACAGGTGCCACCCATCAGCGGCGTGCGCAGCATGTAGGTTACATCCCCCTCCGTCTGATAGCTTGAACGATTTGTACCTTCCTTCTAACCATAGCACTGAACCGCTTGCGATGTCGTCGGCTGCGGAGTTGATACCTCAGGGCGAAAGGCTTGGTGTAGAATCGATCGCGCCGCCATTCGCTCTTGACCTTGTTACGAGCCAGAATTGTGTTCAGGCGATTGATTGCAGCCTGGAAGTTGGAGCTGGTGACAGTACGACCTTGGGCGAAATTAGGCTCTAGGAAAGCAATTCACAAAAGGGCCTGAGACTTACCGCTCGTTACAGACGGTGGTTGATACATTGGTTCGAACGCTAGCTGAGTAACGCCAGCTGCACCTCCAAAATTGACTTTGAATCCTGGTCTGTCAAGAGCTTTCCCTCTTGCTGGCCCGACGGCTTCCATTCTCATGGTGCTATTGATTGCTTCGCTTCGCTTTTTCCATACTTCCTCTGGGCTCATTCCTCCTTTGGATAACAGTGCGTCTCTAGACTGGAGCGCAGCGGCCCGTATCTCGGGGACAATGGTGTCCCAGATAGCGTCAACGCTTTTCCTACCGGAAGTACCTTCCTTTGAGGATGAAGAAGCTATTGAAACGCTGTTAGACATTGTAATGGTAACCATATTTATGAATACAATACCGTCAGTTACTGTTTCGGTTTTTTGCAACAATGGTGTTGAGCTGCTGGACACGGGTTGCGTTGGTTTAGGAGTACTCGGCTCATCTAATCCAAGATTAGAAAGGAACGTGTATGTTCGTTGTGGCAATGAAGAGGACGCTGGGTGTTTTACAGCATGCAAACAGGCCAGCGACCTTACTTTTGCTAGCTGCAAGGGTGCACGTGAAGCTATTGTTCTCGAGATCGAAGCCATAAAATAACTTTTTTTGGGTACAATTTTCGGCCAAAAAGGCAAAGTTCAATATCTTCACTGAGTTTGGTCGAGTCGAAGATGCCGATTCGAAGCTCCAGACCCGACCATTGTCAGACGTATCCAAAAACAAAAGATATTGAGCCATGGCAGAAGTACTAGCTGAGGAATTCGAGGTCTGTGCTATCCTCAAGCTTCATTAATGAAGTGGCCTTCCTTACAAGACCGGTACTGACTTCACATTGACAGGTGCTGGAATCTATCTATCCAGACGAGTTGACAAGTGAGACATGAAATCTATAATATATATAGGGACGCATATTGATATATCTAGAGATATCGGATACCGAAATATCGATCATCGTAGAACCTGAAGAGCCAGTCAGTGGCTTGCAAGATTGTGAGTGTTTCAAACAGCCTTTTGCAATATTACTGATCTATTTATGCCTTCTTCGAACCATGGCTCGATATGATAACTTGACACTTTCTCTAAACCACTACCTCACTGCTCCTTGTCCCATCAGTCAAGGTATCATTAAACGTTTCCTATCCGCCAGAGTATCCGGATGTGTATCCCGAAGTATCCTTGGAATCATTCAATGAAGGCGGTAACCTGGGAGCCCAGGGCGTTCTGACCGAGGAGGAGGAAAAACGGCTATTATCGAGTCTGGAGACGGTCGTAAGTCAGCCCAAGGCCACTCTATTTGGTCCATTCTCTATCAAGGTATCCGTCAAATGAAGTAATACAGTGACTAAGGTGCTTCTAGGGAAACGAGAATATTGGTATTGCGATGACCTTTACATTGGTCTCACATCTTCGCGAGCAACTATCCGAAATTCTAAAAGAAAGAGCGGAGAAGATTAAACGGGAAGAACAAGAGAAGGAGAGAAAGGCCTTGGAGGCAAGTAACCAATGCCACCCGGCTTTCATAAGCTGACTCCGGAGGGTTCTCCCCACACGACTGTGATCCTCATCCAATAGATTGTAAACCTACATGCCATAATACAACACTTTTGAACCATTCGGATTACAATGACCGCCCATCGGTTTTAACTTTAACACACAGATTGAAGCAGATTTATATTATTCCGCTCAAATTCTCGAGAGTACAGTCACTACGCTCTCAGTCAGAGTCGCTCAGGTGCACACCACCTGCATTTTCTTGTTCCTTCTCATCACGTTCCGTCCGGTCGTACATGGTGATATCAACGCTCTCCGTTCCCTCTTCGAACAAGGATGCGTCCTCCAAATTCATCGCTTGAGGGCCACCACGTTCGAAAAGCTGTCGACCTAAACAAAAAGATCAACAATGAATAAAATGAAGACCTTCTATATGCCCGACTCACCCGTCAATCGTAGGCCAACACGCTTCGCCTCTTCTCGTTCCTTTGGTGTCCACCCCTTCATCTTCTCATCATCTTCCTTTCGTTTCTTCTCTGCCTGTTCCGCGTTGAACGATGCTCGCCATTTCAAGAAGCTCTCGCTGGTTACTGGAGTACCTCTTG